CCCCCCCCCCCCCCCCACTAATAACTCCACACGAAGTGCCTTCGAAATTGAAACGTCGAAATTCTCCATATGTTTTTCAGGTAGTTGCAGCTCTACCGATGAAAGCTTGTTTGTATAATAATATTGGCGCTGTCTACACTGGCACAGACAGTTCAAAATTTGACTAACGTTTGTTTATTCCAATTCACAATTTTAGGGTATTTCAATTAAGGTTGTCCACGAGCAAAGCGGAAAAGTCGAATACGAGCGCGAAAGGCTGCTGGGAATCGCTAACAAGTTAATGAATTTTCAAAGCGGCTCCCAGCAGCCTTTCGCGCTCGTATTCGACTTCTCCGCTTTGCTCGTGGACAACCTTAATTGAAATAGCTGTATGCCGAGTTGCTGTTGTCCTAGCTAACAGAATAGATATATATGTAAACTTGAATTAGCTACTTTGAACAAACGCAAATAATTAGTTTTCTTCGTGTATAGATATTCCATAACAAATCGTAAGTTAAATATTTTATTAAAGTACCTTGGTGTCCTAAATTCCCGGAATATATGAGAGTCAACTAAACATTTTCTTACGATTATGTGCGAACTATGGAAACACGTAACTAACCCTTGAAATTAAATGTTAAACATTCAGTGCTTGCTGAAAGCAACAATTTACTTATAACAACAATGAATATACTTACCAAGAAACCACTTGGCACTCGAAATGAAAAATCAAGAAATTCTTTACTTGCGCCAAAAATAATCATGTACATAGAACAAGCATAAATGCCTTATATACCAAGGACTAAATGCACACGCTAAGCTAATCTCTTCAGCCAAACTATAGCCTAAAGAAGTACTTAATTTTGATGACGCATGCTCACTGATTACGATCAACTGCCCGAATCGATTGCTTGTGCAAATATGCATGATCCCACAAGCATTAACTCAAAGTTTCCTCCATTCATGCATAAGGTAAGGTCCTCGGGACCTTATTCGAATTTGCACTTAGAGGTCATCAACTGAACTTTTTGCTCAGCTGGTTGTAGAGTGTTGAAGTAATATTACGCTTGTTTTAAATACGGAAAGGCATGGAAAGTAATTTCTTAAAACAAAAATGAGAATTTCACTTTGCGTCAACTTATAAGCTATTTAACATGCTAATTTTCTTTGCGTGCTTTGTAAAAATAGGAGTAATTTAAACTTTAAAGCTTTCATCCACTTGTACATATTAATGCTGTAATTCAGTCGATATTTACAGACGGCGGCTCTTAAGTTATCACGACAGATAAAATGTAGAACATAATTATTAATCGTCACCAAAAATTTGTGGTATACTTAAAGGCAGCTGAGCTAAAATTCCGACTAAAAGATGACTCAGGCGATGCTAATAAGCAAATAGTTTACGTGTTTGTCGAAAAAATTATGAAATATCCGATTTATATGAGTTTATCATACAATTCCCACGACTTCCAATACGAGGCCGATTTCGGTAGCGCTGACTTCCAATACACTTGTCCTCGTGCTTCTTGCGAGCAGAGCGCATGCGCATGACCTGTTGTTAGTATCGGTATCGGAAGTCGAACTTAAACTCTCTATTGCCTACACTGGCACCGACCGTTCGAGATTAACTGGATGTATGAATGTTTTGTGCTTAGATGAAAAACACATAGATATCTTGTATACACTAGATGTAGTGCATCTACTTACTCTGCAATTCAAAAATTGAAGCCGTGATTGCAGACTCATGATATTCCCATGAAATGAGAGTTGAAGACTCGTATGTTTTCTATTTCTTAAACAGGGAAGTTAACATTAAGTTAAACCTATTACAAATACATTTTCAAACTATTCAAATGATGAAAGTTCCCAGCGGGCAAAATTACGTTTATCCAACGTTGAATCAACGTTGGAAATGACCTTCCAGACGTTGGATAGACGTTGAAAAAGGGTAGACTATGCAAATTGGGTCGACGTTACTGTTTCGACGTTGAAACAACGTTGAAATTAGGTTGCCAATCTCGTCAACCATAATTCAACGTTGAATCCACGTTAAAACAACGTTGAGATTGGTTCAGAAATCGACGTCGTACGTTTAACCATGAATGAACGTTAATTCAACGTCTGTTGGCTGCTGTTGAACCAATGTTTGTAAAACAACGTCAGAACAACGTAGATATTAGGTTGTCGACGTCGCAACCTTTTTTCTACCAAATTTCAACGTTGAAACAACGTCGTGTGCCCGGTGGGTTATTGTTGTTTTTTAACCGTTTATTAGCGAGTGGGAAACTCAAACATGGCCGCCATCTATTCAAATGTGGTTAGTTTTATATAGGCGGCAGTTTTATATAGGCAAATGTCATGTAGTGTAAATCGGCTTTTAGAATCTAGATGCTGAACTTGTTGTCTTAATAACTAATTACGCGTATATTTAACAGTTATTCTACGAACTCGAGTCGAATATGAGCTATCGCTTATATCAGACGAGAGTGAGTGGAATAACTGTTTTATTATAATTGCAAGGCCTGAATTCGCAGACTGCTTTTCGGATATTTTCAACATTTTTCAATAGGCAATTCCAGCTTTTAGTTTATGCCTGCAGAGGATGATGGGAAGTAAGGTATCATATTGCTGATTTGCTGAAAAATTTCAATAAAAGCTACCGAAAGAACCGAAATATTTCAATATTTACAAGTAGAAGCTATCAATCCGTGTTAACACGGCCACCATTTTTATTTTTAAAATTCATTTGCTAACCTGTAAACAATTTGTGAGAATTTTCTTTGTATTTTTAATCCTATAAGGGCTATAAAAAGCGAACAACTTTCCGTTTACTCGTTCGCAAAACGTCGGAAATTCAGTTTGAGCCACCATTTTGTTTTTCTCTACTGGCAGGATACGAGGTTATATCCTTCTAGTACAGAACCAATTAATCGAGGGGCATTTCACTCCAAAAATCCCGTACACTTCGTCAAAAAATCCGGAAAAAATCCAGAAAAAATCCACGAAATCCTCAAAATCCGTTGAATCCATCAAAATCCAAAAATTCCTTTAAAAACCACAGAAATCCTTCAAAAATCCACAGAAATCCTTCAAAATCCTTAAAAAATCCGCAAATCCACGAAAAATATATGAAGTACTTGGTGTAATTTACTCGTAAAGGTTCTTTGCCACGTTCAAAATGGCGGACAGCGAAAGCTAAACGCTTACCGTGATCGCTGTCATTATATTTCGTAATTATTGGACCACTCTACATTTCCATTTATACGCTCGAGTATACGCTAAGTTTCAGTTTTAGCCTATTACTACTAAATATGTGTTCTTGTTACAATGACGTTATGTTGTAAAATATAATTATAAAACCATTGTCTATATGAAAAGTTTATATTCACCATTGTCTTTTACTGTTTTTGAAAGAATAATGAACTTGTTTGAATTTTAAACAAAATGACTGCATGCCCAGCCTTCGTTAGTTTCTGAAGGCTGTGGTCCTAGTCCCAGTCCTCTGCTCGACCCTGACGTCCTGGCATAACGTTGACGTTGTAGACGTCGTACAACTTAAGATTATTTGTTCAAATTCAAAACGTTACCTAGCTCTATAACTCTATAGTTAAAAAAATCCAGAAAAAATCCGAACAAATCCGGAAAATCCAACAGATTTTCAAAAATCCAGAAAAAATCCGAACAAATCCGGAAAATCCAACAGATTTTCTCTTCAAAAATCCGCTAAAAATCCGGGGAAAATCCGCTAAATCCGCTAAAAAATCCGCGGATTTTTAAAAATCCGAAAATCCCGTACGCTTTTTTGGAGTGAAATGCCCCTCGCAATTAATTGTAGAACACCTCATATCCAAACCTTGTGTATATAATAAATGTATGTACTGTAATTTCTCGAGTATAGGATATTACTTTTATATATACAACCTTCCAAAAAGTACCAATCCTTGCATGGCTATATATAATAATACAGTCTGGAATTTGTTATCCCAAAATATTTCATACAACGAGGTCTATTATAAAGTACTATTATAAAGTTATAAATACTATTATAAAGTTCAAATTTGTTAAATGGAATAAAATACAGCCTGGGTAAAATAGCCACTGATCTGAAAATCAGCGCTGGATGGTGCATCCGCTATGCAGAAATGAAGCCAGTGGCGGTCATATTGCTCTTACCAGGACAAATCTATTGTGCTGTCAATACCTTTGCTGCAGAGGTTCTATACATTTCCTGATAACCGGCAGGAAGGATATACATTGAATTGAAATTGATGTAAAGCTCATTCGAAAGAAATAGGAAACTATATCTTTCGGTTGCATAGGAAAGACATTATCTTGTCAATTTGTCTAATTAATTTAGCTAGGGACGTCGCAATTCGATTTGTAGAGATTTGACAGATTTTAAAATCCTATGAGTACAAATATTCTTGTTGAAACTTGCCGATTGAATTCAAAGGATACTCCAGTCGTAGCTTACACTTTACAGATCAGTGAACATCACGCACCACAGCCATTTAATACACCTTTCTATGATTCCGTCACATATACTCTTTGATCTTGTAACTTCGCTCTCATTAGTAAATTCATTACGCAAGGTGATTGGCTCATGGTTCATGAGAGAGAGGCTCTTAATATAATAACAAATATTTATATAATAAATATAATAACAAATATTTTATTGTCAAAGTACGTCTTAATAGTAATTAACAATATATTCTTGTGCACTTTTTGTAATTTAATATTAAATATAGTATAATTCCGCTCTTCTATCGATAAAATTTTGTATACAATGATGTCAAATACATCAAATAGTATCTCAAAATGTTGTTGTGCAGAGCCGTCGCGAAGAGGTTTAAGCAGGGGGGGGGGGGGGTATTTGGCAACAAAAGTTAAAAATTTGTCGACAAATTATCTGAAGTATCTGTCGACGGGGGGAGATCAAATTTGATTAGACGACCATGTTAAAACCGCTGACAAAATCCTTCATTTTGCCGACAAGATGTCAAACACCCCCCAACATCCCTGGCGACGGCCCTGTACATGTACGTTGTTGTGCTGAACAGTTCTCACCAGCCTAAATCAGACAGAAAGAAATACTGACCACGCATATGCCTGCAACAAACGCTTGTGTTTAGAGCTTGAAGAATCAAAGACAATGGCCATGGAGACGACAATCTTAGGGAAATTCAAAACTGAAAATATTTCAAGAATGCTTGTGGCTTGGATAAAATTACTTGTGAATCAATCCCTGAACCATTTTTAAATCGGACGAAATTGCTAATATTGCAGTCTTTCCTTAAACTTCGCAATTGAATACAGTACGGGATATGGAATCGTAGTTTCAAGCCAGTTACAGACGGATAAGTTTTCCATGACAAATTTTTATGTGACAAGTTTTATTACCAAAGTTTATATGACAGGATTTCATATGACAAGTTTTATTTACTGGTATGAACGTGTCAGAAAAAGGTATTTATCGCCGCCATGACAGAAAAAATTAAAATAGGCCGCTGGCCAATTACATCAAATGCTCAGATTACTTTGACAAGTTTTTGGTTGACCCATAATATGACCAACAAAATGTGTACTTTGACAAGTACGCTAGCTTTTCAACAAGTGCACTTGTCATAGAAAAAATTGTCAAAGTACAAATTTTGTTCTAAGAAAAGTGCACTTGTTCAAAAGCTAGCTTTTGAACAAGTGCACTTGTTATAGAACAAAATTGTCAAATAGAAAACGTGCTCATCTGTAACCGGCTTTAGCTCGAACTTCCAGGCCTTTCGCTTTCTTTATATCTTATTTCTTTCTAGTGTTTAGAGAAAATCAATTAGTTTTCAGTTGCACTATCACCACATACAGTGTTTAATCACTTATATAATAGAATATTCTTTCCCTGGGTTTGGTTGTTCAAAAGCCGATTATATATAACCCTGGCATATATGTCGGTAACCTAAAATTCAAAGCAAACTTCCCATCAACCTGTTTAGAAATTTGCAAATGGTTGTTTAGAAATCTTGCATGGGTCAGCAGAAGTTTTTTTCTCTGAAGTTTTGAAATAAACAGACGTGCAGAAATACATAAACTTAAACAGTACATTCAATTTTAACCGAGGGTTAGTGCTGATCCAGGTTTGAACAACCAGCTCCTTGTGTTCATTGCTTATGAATGTTTGCGAAATATTTCTTAGTTTATCTACAATCCTGGACATAAATTATTGGCAAGGGCAAAAAGGATAAAAAATAAGAAAATTCATCGAATTTCACCCCCCTACCCCTAATATCAAGGTTGATGGGTGTATTCGAGGCCAGATAACTTGGCCAAACATTGATATTGGGGGAAGGGGGCATCATTGGGACAAACATGTCTTAAAATTATATTTTGAAGTAATAAACTAGTTTTAGCCACTTTTTTTGTCCAGGATTGTAGATTTTGTAGAAACTACGATATTTCTTTCAATACTATGCATGGTCTGTCACAATAATATAGTCAAAACTCCACGCGTGTATGCAACAACACACATGCACCTATAACAAGTTTCTAAGGTAATAACTACCATCTTAGTATAAACACGTACACGTTTTGTGATTGGTTTCCTAAAACAAGAATGATCAGTATTTGCCTTGTTCTTTTGGATCAGTATTTGGCAAATGCCTTGTTCTTGTGTCATTTATTACAGAGCTTAAAGCAAGCGACTTTTTCATTCAACGTGAAACAGCATCGAGTGGCGTTCTTGATTTCAAGCAAATGCATGAACACACTGATGAAGCTATATTTGATGCCTAAATTATGTGCACGCGTCGTCCGTGTAACAGAACAGAAACCTTACAGAAGGCCTTACATTCGGGTGAATATGCCCGAAAATATTCAAATTGGCAGACGTTCGGGGAGGGATGTTTCTCGTAAACGTCGCTTGCATGTTTAAACTCTCTACTATCAACCAGTCACAAAGCCTGTTTATATAGCTAGTAGGCGTCCTACGAGTGATCCCCATGCAGATCTTGCTTAACATGTTGTTTTATATCTTGGCGAGAGCTGGTGTTAGAAGGCATCTAAAAACCGTCTAATAATCACCTTTGAGCATCCGGAACACATAAAACAAGGCAATCAAAATTCAAAAATACTCCAAGTGCATGTATACAAATACATACATGCAAGCCACCAGAATGTCAATTTTAAGGACACACCAGAAGAGTTTCCTCAGCCGGAGCTGGCACATAACAGTTTCTATAAATGTTTCATATCACTCAACCACCTATGTATTCTGACCTTACATGCGGCAAATGAAAGCGCTCAACTTAATTCTAACTCAACTTATTAATGACTATAAACTCAAATCTTCTCGTCTAATCAATCCCCTTACTAGTAAATGTCTGTCTGATTAAACGTCGTCATGGGAACCCGTTCTTCATCTTTGAAGGCACCGTCGTCATTGTATTTCAGTTGGATGGCTGGTGAATATTCTTGAATTTCGTTGGAATCTGCCAGTGAGTGCGAGTAATGGCGTTTCTGAATCTGATAAAGAATTAGAAAATTATTGTGGAAACTAAGCACAAGGCAGTAAAATTCTTTGTACAATGCCTCATATTGTAGTTTAAGTCGGTTGAGGTCAAAGCAAAGAGGCGCGGCAAGCATTTTATTTATTATAAAGCTAGGGAGTTTTCCTAATGAACTTACTTATGCGAGAACTCGCTTTAAGAACTATTTACGACATTTAAGACATTTAAAATGCACGAGCGCGCATGAGAGATGTAGTTATACACTGTAACACTGTTCAGCGGATCGACATAATGAAATAGTAGCGACGGAACATAGTATTGATACAATGAAATTCGTAATATTAAAAAAATAGAGCGGTAGATTGCGAACTTTCCCTGCTAAGGTAGATCTCAGTGACGTAGCCAGGATTTCTAGTCTGGAGAGGGGGATCACAGGAGAGGCCGAAGCAATTTACCCTACACCAGTTCGAATAAAGTTTGTTTGTTATGCGAAAATGTATTTTGACTCCCACGCTATCAAGGCATATATAGAACAATGAAAATTCTAGCGGCTATTTTAATGTGTTTTGGTGATATTAAATAACCATTTCATATACATAATAACTCTATACTCAATTACAAACGATTTCAGAACATTTAAAGCATAGCAAGATATATAATTTCCTTTACAAGAAATGAAAATATAATGCACAATAAATGCTTGTACTGATCAGATTTTCTCCAAGGGCGTTCCAATATTTTGTCAGGGGGGGTTGGGCCCCCTTTGGCTACGTCACAGGTAGAACTGTTCTCTACAATAAAGCGCCAATTTTAACATCATCAAACTGCATTAAATTTTTACGATTGAAAGCTATACAATAAATTTTCTTTACAATTATTATTTGAATGAATTTGTTCTGGCCGTCGTTAATTTCGTTGCCGTCCTGCATCGAAAGATCGCTATAATCTTCAGCTCAAGATGCAGGAAATGAAATCTAGATACTATTATATCGAGTCTTCGCAGCGTCACTGCACCTTATAATTATTTGTATACATTTGTTGATGAGTAATTTCATGAAAATATGTAGACGATTTGAGCCGATTTTCAGGTAGCTTATAAGATCATTGACAGGAAAACATGGAAGTTAAAAGTGAAAAAGATAAAAATGCAAAAATTTGGGAATTCCATTTTCTGCCTTTCTGAAGACTTATATATTCAAAATTTCCTTGCGGAATCATTACCCCGATGCCGCCGAATATATTTACTCCCGCATCCTTTACCCATCCATTATGCTCATGTATATTTTTATTAAAAAAAAACCCTTTCTAATTAGAAAATTATGGTAATGAGACTTGAAAACATGAAAATAATATTTTGGATGCACTAATGGAAAAATAGTAAATGAAACTAGGTACTTCGACGTTTCAAGCGAAGGTCTTCAGTCGACGAAGCGACTTCGCTCGAAACGTTGAAGTTCTCCTTCAGGCAGTTACATCTCTATCAATCTTCCTTAATGTTATTTCACTTACACATTGCGTTATGACCATCACAAACAGAACCAGACAGAGTCCAGCGAGTATTGAGATAACTATAATCGGCATGCGACCCCATGTTTCCTTTTTATCCTCATGATCATCGTCATCCCTGCCTTTCACGTCAGGACTTTTCTCTTCAACATCAATGTTACCCACAACATATTTCCCGAATCCTCCCTTAGTACTCTTTGCCTGTTTTAAAGTATTACTGATTCTATCAATTGACACTGGTTTGGATTCAACTGATTCAGTGTGTATGACGACATCACAACCCAGACTGCCATTGAAAAACCTTAAAACTTCAGTAAATAAGTATTCCTCCATGTCTTTGAACACTCGATCAAATTGTTCTGCTATTTCATTGCTTTTCTGCCTAAATGCTCTGGCACTTGTTATGTATTCATTTCTAAATGTTTCTGATGTTATTTTAATAGTAACACGAAACTGTTGTACCTTAAACTTTGTCGGTGAAGATGTTGGTCTGGTAGAGACACGAGTGCTGTAATGAATTATCGTGGACGGTTGAATCATGCGAAATGTCGTAACATTTTTCGCAATGTGCGTTTGGTTGCTGGAAATTTTACTAAATTGACCCGACATAAGGATGTGGCTTGCCATAGTTGTGCGGTTTGCAATAGCAGTCATGTCAGAAGATACATACCGTTCTAATGACGATATGTATGGCACCGGAGTAGGAATTAAAGTTTTGTTTAAGGAATCCAACTTTTCAACAGGGCTTGACGTGATGAAATTCTCTAGATTAGTTGTTTTATCAGGTCTTTTTTCTTTCGTTGAATTCATTTTCGATGTATAGTTGTTTGCAAGCAATCCACTTTTTGATGTGCTATGTTGAACCGTTGTATCGTTTCTTGTAGGGTTGAATCTACCTTTTGATATTTTACTGTATAACATTTCAGTAATGTTAACGGCAGGTGATGTAAATACTACCTTGATTTCACTCCTGTTCTGTTTTGACACCAAAGATGGACTAGGTTCCAAAACTGCTGTCTTGTTCGCTTGCTTTATTTCTGACGTTGAAATTCCTTTTGTTGAATTAGCTTTCATGTGTGCTTTCTCAGAGATATTTCTGGAATAGCTTGCACTTACTTCAGTTTTGGGGAATGATTTGGTAGCTCTGATAAAGGGGATGGAAGTATTTTTTTCTTTAGTTACAACGACAATAGCCCGGTTTGATTTGGATTCCGGGGGAGCAGTCGAGGCGGTAATATTGATCATTTGGCTCTTTCCTGAATTTGGATGCATTGACTTCACAGAAGTCGTAGTAAGCATCATTATTTTGAAATTTTCCCAAGGCATAGAGACTGTAAAACTTGTCTCTTCAGTGTCTGAGGTATTTGCTTTACCATGCAGGCTCAACGTAATTGAAGATTGTTCGTGGTTTGAAGATGCAAGGGTGTTTAATATCGTAGATTGACGAGGTGTATTCGAACTGACAGTCGGGTGCTTTGGTTGGATCGAGGAGCCCAATGCCATGGATACGGAGTGCGTTTGAGAAAAAATTACTCGACGTGTAGCATTCTCATTTCTCTCCTTCGAATGAATTAGGATGGGGGAGGTTTCTTGTTTACTAGTCGTTGAAGCTTGTACGGCCATAATTGGGACAACTGTTTTCTTGGAATCATTGAACGCTTTCATCAGGGGACTCGATTCAATACGATAAACGGACGAGGATGCCAGTTTAGCACTTGATGATATGCGCGTTGGTATTTCTCCTCTTATTGTAGACGCTTCAGGAATTGCTTTACTGGCATAAAATAAGGCAGAAGAATTTATTATAATATCCTTAGTATCTGTCGAAATTATTGAATAGCCATTGGTTAACAATGTATTGATAGAAGTAGATATATTTTTCATTTTCAATGGTTGAGTGTTGGGCTTGGTTTCTGAATAAACTGATGATTTAAGTGCAACATTCGAAGGAGGTTCAGTTGTAACAGTCGATAAAACGTTAGCTAAGGCTGTTGTTTGTTCTGCTTCAGCATTAACGGTGTTTCGATTGAGGATCGTTATAAATGTCAACAGGAGTCCGTGTGTGAAAGCTTGTCCTAGCCACATATTGAAGAACAACTTTAATGATACTGTCAATGATCAAAATCTGCAAAGAAAAAATAGTTCAAAAAAGGTTGCATTTAATTTATCTGAAGGGTTTGATAAAATTTAGAAAATTCGGAATGTCAGAATTAGAAACAATGCAGTTGTTATGGCAATTTGTACGTGCTATTAAAGAATTACCCCATACTGACGAATAACGAATCATTCCAGAACTAGTCAATCAACCAATTAGAACTGGTCAATTAAGCTTTTTATGCATATTTATTCAACAGGTATTTAATTTTGGCTGTTCGTATATATATATATATATATATACATATATATATATATATATATAT